AGGAATCCAAAGAGGACCACACCAAGACACATCATCATTAAAATGCCAAGAGCAAAAGACAAAGAGAGAATCTTAAAAGCAGCAAGAGAAAGAAACTCAGTTACCTACAAGGGAATACCCATACGACTGTCAGCTGATTTCTCAACAGAAACTTTGCAGGCCAGAAGGGAGCGGCAAGAAATATTCAAAGTGATGAATGCCAAGAACATACAACCAAGATTACTTTATCCAGCAAAGCTATCGTTCAGAATTGAATGTCAGATAAAGAGCTTCACAGATAAGGAAAAGCTAAAGGAGTTCATCACCACCAAATCAATATTATATGAAATGCTGAAAGGTATCCTTTAAGAAGAGGAAGAAGAAGAAAAAGTAAAGATACTAATTATGAACAACAAATATGCATCTATCAACAAGTGAATCTAAGAATTAAGTGAATAAATCATCTGATGAACAGATTGAACTGGTTATTTTAATAGAATCAGGGACATAGAAAGGGAATGGACTCACTATTCTTGGGGGGGAAAGGGGTGTGGGGGGTGAGGGAAGAGACTGGACAAAAATTGTGCACCTATAGATGAGGACAGTCGGGGGGTAAGGGCAGAGGGTGGGGTGGGAACTGGGTGGAGGGGAGCTATGGGGGGAAAAAAAGAGGAACAAATGTAATAATCTGAACAATAAAGATTTCATAAAATTTAAAAAAAAAAACACACTCAAACTAAGAACAGAAGGGAAATGCCTCAACCTAATGAAGGAAATCTATAAAAAATATACAGCTAGCATCATAATTTATGGTGAAAGACTAAATATTTTCCTTCTGGTATCAGGAAGAAGACAAGGATTTCCAGTCTCATCACTGCTACTCAAGACTGTAAAGGAAGTTCAAAATAAGCAATCAGGCAAGAAAATTCAATAAAAGGCATCCAGATAAAAAAGGAAGAAGTAAACTATTTCTATTTGCAACTGACATGATCTTCTATACAGAAAACACTAAGGTATGCATTAAAAACACTATTAGAGCTAATAAACAACTGCAGCAAGGCTGTGGAATACAGGATCAGCATACAAAAACCAGCTGTATGTCTGTGTACCTGCAAAGAACAATCTGAAAATCAAAAAAAGTACTGCCAATTACAGCAGGGATAAGAGAATAAAGTACACAAGTATAAATTTAACAAAAGTGTAAGCTCTATACACCGAAAACTATAAAACATTGTTGACAGAAAGACAACACCATAAGGCAGAGGTGGGCAAACTTTTTGACTCGAGGGCCACAATGGGTTCTTAAACTGGACCGGAGGGCTGGAACAAAAGCATGGATGGAGTGTTTGTGTGTACTAATATAAATTCAAAGTAAACATCATTACATAAAAGGGTACGGTCTCTTTGTTTTTTAGTTTTATTCATTTCAAACGGGCCAGATCCGGCCCACGGGCCGTAGTTTGCCCACAGCTGCCATAAGGTATCACTTATATGTGGAATCTGATGAACAAAATAAACTGACAAGCAAAATAGAATCAGAAGTATGGCTACATGAAACAGACTGACAGCTTATGAGAGAAGAGAGGGGTTGGGGATCTAGAAGAAAACAGGTGCAGAGATTAGCCAAAAAACATATATACCTAACACATAAACAAGGACAATAGTGTGGTGATTGCCAGAGTGAAAGGAGGGAGTAGAATGGCAACGGAAAATGGGGCAATGAGCGCACAGTACAGTGTGCAGATGGTATTTTATTTAGTTGTACACATGAAACCTGTATGGTTTTGTGAACCAATGTCACCCCAATAAATTCAAGTAAAAAAGCTGTTGACAGAAATTTAAGACCCAAATATATGTAAAGATCCTATACACATGCATCAGAAGACTAAATATTGATTAAGTAACAATATCCCTCAAATTGATCTACAGATTCAATACAATTTCTATCAAAATTTCAACTGCTTTTTTTTTAAAGAAATGGACAAACTTATTTTTAAATTCATATAAAAATGCAAGGAAATCAGAATAGCCAAAGGAATATGAAAGAGAACAATGTTCTCCAAATTTTAAAAGTTAATACAAATCTTCAGTAATCAAGAAGATAGTACTTCCATAAGGATGAACATACCTATCAATGGAATATAACTGAGAGCCCACAAATAAACCCATGCATTGTACTTACAAACTGAACTGATCTTCGACAAGAATACACAACAAGGGAAGACTAGACTCTTCAATAGTGTTGCTGGGACAACTGGATAGCCACATGCAAAGGAATGAAGTTGCACTAACAAGAGACAAAGAAGGCCACATCATAATGAGACAAAGGTCACTTCTTTGTCTCTTGTTATGGCCTTTGTTTGAAGTCTATTTTGTCTGATTAAGTATTGCTACTCCAGCTTTTTATTTTTTCCTTTCCTTTTGCATGGAGTTTTAGGAAGAGACTGACAGCGATAGAGTCATAGTGGAGGATTTAAACACCCCACTGACATCACTGAACAGATCTTCCAGGCAAAAAATGAACAAGGAAACAGAGACCTTAAAAAACACACTAGAACAGATGGATCTAACCAATATTTATAGAACATTTCATCCCAAAGCACAGAATATGCATTTTTCTCAAATGCACATGGAACATTCTCAAAGATAGAAGACATGTCAGAGCACAAAACAAGTCCATACAAATTCAAAAAGATTGATATAACATGCCAAACATCTTCTCAGATCACAATGGCATGAAGTTAGAAATCAACTATAATAAAGAAAACTCAAAAATACTCAAATACATGCAGGCTAAATAGCATATTATTAAACAACTAGAGGCCCAGTGCACGATTAAATCACGCGCGCGTATGGTCCCCTAGGCCTAGCCTGCCATCAGGGCCATGTCCACCACCCTACGACACCTTGCATGCTCCGCGGACGCTGCCAGCACTCTGTCCGGACTGCTGCAAGAGGCCTTTTATGATATAGATGAATGGGTTACCAATGAGACCAAGCAAGAAATTAGAAACTTCCTGGAAACAAACAAAAATGAACACACAACCATCCAAAACCTGTGAGATACAGCAAAAGCAGTCCTGAGAGGGAAGTTCATAGCACTACAGGCCTTTTCAAGAAACAAGAAAAAGGACTAATAAATTATCTAACACTACAACTAAATAAACTAGAAAAAGAACAGCAAGAAAAGCCCAAAGGAAGTAGAAGGAAATAATAAAGAGCGGAAATAAATGACAGAGAGTAAAAAAACAGTACAAAAGATCAATAAACCTAAGAGCTGATTCTTTGAGGAAAAGATAAACAAGACTGATGAACCCCTAGCCAGACTCATCAAGAAACAAAGACAGCTCTGGCTAGTTTGGCTCCGTGGACAGAGCGTCAGCCTGTGGGCTGAAGGGTCCTGGGTTTGATTCTGGTAAAGGGCACATGCCCAGGTTGTGGGCTCAATCCCCAGTACGGGCATGCAGGAGGCAGCTGATCAATGATCCTCTGTCATCACTGATGTTTCTATCTCTCTCTCTCCCTCTCTCTCCCTTCCTCTCTGAAATCAATAAAACACATATTTTTTTTAAAAAAAAGAAACAGAGAGAACCCAAATAAAATCAGAAATAAAAGAGGTGACATAACAACAGACACCACAGAAATACAAAGGATTGTAAACAAATATTATGAACAACTATATGCAAACAAACTGGACAACTTGGGTGAAATGGACAAATTCCTAGAAACATACCATCTTCCAAAACTCAATCAGGAAGAATGAGAAAACTTGAGTAGGCCACAACTGATGAAAATGAAGGAGTACTTTTAAAACTTCCAGCAAAGAATAGTCCTGGACCGGATGGATTTATAGGTGAATTTTACTAAACATCCAAAGAAAACTAACACCTATGCTCCTCAAACTATTAAAAAAAAAATACAGCCGAAACCGGCTTGGCTCAGTGGATAGAGCGTCGGCCTGCGGACTGAAAGGTCCCAGGTTCAATTCCGGTCAAGCACATGTACCTTGTCCCCAGTAGGAGATGTGCAGGAGGCAGCTGATCGATGTTTCTCTCTCATCGATGTTTCTAACTCTCTCTCTCTCTCCCTTCCTCTCTGTGAAAAATCAATAAAATATATTTTTTAAA